AACCAAAACACCTTAGTCGAATAAATCTAAGAAAAACAAAACTAACTTACAATGTTTCCAATTCCAAAGCCATTGTGACTATGTTCTCAAGTGCTGTAAGAGGCACATGTGTTTGTCCCAAGTCTCTGAAAAGAAAGCTCAGATGGAAACGAGGAATCCCAATACAAATATTCTCTACTTAAACAGGTTCAAGATAATATGATTTTCTTGTCAATTCTGGCTACTTAACAAGCCAGCACATGATTTTCTTTATCATAAAATACAATCCCAGAGAGCTCTTCACGAAGAAATTCACGTTTAACATTTGCATCATCAAATTAATGACTTTGGCATTACATAGTAGAGCCTATACCTTGTTTGAAACCATCATCTTACTTCTCATTTTTATTTTGCAGTCATTTGTGTGTTTTTTATTTCTTATGACAATGCCAGTATGCTTTCTGGGGCAAATGATGTTCCTACATCCACTTATATGTTCCCTTTCTACCATGTCCCTCAATACTGCTCTCTACCCCTGCTAATTGTTACCTGTTATACATCTTCTCTTAATTTTTTCCTTTTCCAGTAACTTTTTTCAATAGCCTCATTCAAATTAAAATTACAGCTTTCAGAACAAAAGTACAATACCTAACCTCTGATGGAAGAAAGCAAGAAGACAGAAGCTGTATCAGGACTTACACAATTATTGGAATACCGTACTTACAGATATTTTAATGCTGGTAATTTTAAAAAGATGAATCTTTGACAGTCCTCAGAGGATTATGCTTGAGAATTCTGAAAAATGCAATAGAATTAAAGTCTGTATTTTCAATATGCATGAGATTACACGAAAAATGGAACTTATAGGTTAAAAAATCATTTTCTGTGACTACCTCTGCATAACCCTTAGAATGCAGAAAGCTCTCTTCTTTGGGGACTAAGTAGGTCTCTAAAAGATAAGGTGGAAATGACAAAGAGGGAGACAATATAGCATAACATGGATAGAAAAAAATTATGTGAAAGAGTAAAAACCCTAAAAGTGATGCTCTCACAAGAAATCTTCACCCTACAGGAAATTCTATATTTAGTATCCTTCATAATTCAAGGTCAGAGTGAGTCAATGGTGCTACTGGGAGCCACGTAGCTTGCTCTTGCCTGGTGAGCTTCCCATTTAGCACGTTTTTCCAGATATGGTTTAACTTGCTTCACTTGTAACATTAGCTAATATTCAATAAGATTATATTATCAGTTTTATTATTCATATCAGACAGAATATGAACGTCACGTGACTGTTAGGCATTGTTCCTGAAACTACAGCTTTAAATAAACTTTTTGGGGGTGGCATTAATTCCCCTAAGATCACTCACTGTTGGGCTCTGTAAAGCAGGTTCCCCACCTCTGCCTCTCCCGCTGCTTCCTCTAGCCCAGCCACTGAGAATGACTGTGAAGGCCTGGCACAGTGGGGCAGGCCTGTAATCCCAGCACTGTAGG